ATGAACTTACTTGTGTAGCTTTGTCCTTCATGCAAGGCGCAGCTTGTCCATGACTATCACGAGGCCAGTGTCCTGCAAGGTATGGAGCAGCAAGTGTATCCAAAGAGGAAGTACGACGAATAATACTGGAAGGGCTTGAAGAAGGTGGTCGTGTTTTATCACCTAGATTTAAGACAGAAGAATATGTCTTTTAAAATAATTAAGGAGGGAAAACAAAGCAGAAAGTGAATTTTAAACTATGCAAAAATTCTAGCTTATATACATAGAATAAACAGAAAGTAATAAGCTTCTGATAAAGCCAATGTGGACAAATTATGCTGAGTGAAAATTTCCAACCCTCAAAGGTTACGTATGTATAATTTCATATAGAAAATACTCTTTTTAAGGGGAGCTCTGGTGGCCTAGTGGCAAGAAGCTGCACTGCAATCCCAGAGGTGCATGGTTCGAATCCACCAGATGCTCTGCCGGGAAAGGAGGGACAATCTCCTCCTGTACCAGTCAGATCTGATTTGACGGTACACAGACACACAAAATAATAATAAAATAAAAAAAAATACTCTTTTTAATTAGAAAAATCAAAAGTAGAGGAAATGTTAGGAGTTGCCAGGACTTAGGTAGGGATGGCTGAGAAAGGATGAGAAGGGCAGAGAGAGGCAGGTATTATTATAAAAGAGAAACATGACAAATCACTGTGGTACTGAAACTACTCAGTTATCTTGACCATGGTATAAACTCAAACATGTAGATTAAACTTTATAAAATTGAACATACACACACAACTGAGTACATGTTAAACTGAAAAAAAAAAATCTGAACAAGATCAGTGGATTGCAATGTTAATTTTACTGTACTCATACTAAAACTGGAAGATATTACAACTAGAGACTACTAGGCAAAAGATGATTCCTTACAGCTGAATGTGAATCTAAACAGTATCTCTATTTTTAAAAAACAATCTCCATATATCTGTCCTTTTTAAAAATTTCCCTTCTTTGTGTAGTACATGTCATGACTAACACTGTGTGTCAACATAGTTATGATTCTCAGTATAATGTTAATTTTTTTTCTTCTTGTTGTGTACCATGTAAAATGTAATTTCTTCTTATTTTTGTGTACCACAGAGCCGGAACAGACCCATAAACTGGCCCTCCAGCAGGTTTTCAGAGGCAGTTAATTGCAAGGAAGGAGACTGTCCACCCTTCAGGGCAGTTTCTTACCAATAAGCCAGCAGAGCTCCCTTGTAATTTATTGTGTTATAAATACTAACTTCTATGCTCTTAATAAGCAGGATTACAAATAGCTCTACAAAGGAATGATTGGCCTTATTTGATTGCAGTAAATCTCCTCAGGCATGAAGAATACTTATTATGTTTGGACTCTCACAAATAATTAGAGAGGTTTTTGTCAGATCTACATAGGGAACTCTAGTATTCTAGTCAATAAGGATGTGCTCTGTGAACTCAAAAGGCAGGACAACTTCTGGGAGTTCAACTCTGCCCACAGCCTTAGAAACCCAATGGAGATCAGCTATGAGCCAGTTTCAACTCAATAGTAAAGATTAAGAAGACAGGTCTGGCTATCTGACTTGTAGTTTCCAAACTTAAACCAGTTTTTAAACCTGCCATATTTACTGACGTTGGACTCATCAGACTCCAAAACCTGCTATCTGCAAAACTCCTCAACAATGACCTTTGGACATACTGCCCTCTTAAACGACAGCCTCCAAAGCCAAGCAGCATGAGATCTTCTCTGCCTTTTGACAATCTGAGACTTCACCTCCCCTACAGACACCTCTAGGACTTGCCTCTACAAGCATGGGAACAATTCCCTTGCAATACGTCAGTTATTCTCTCTCTGATAAATACACACATACATGCAATTTTACATACATACATAAACATATTTCATTGGCTTTACTTCTCGAGAACCCAGGTTAAGACAGTATGGATAACACTTAGAAATTTTATTACGTAATTCCTAATTATACTCAAAGGTTATTAGGCAGCCAAGATGAAACTACAGGTAAAATCCCATTTTAATAAGATCCAAAATTCATGTATATTAATAAGATTTCTTCGCAATAAACAGACACTATATCTTATTAGCCAGGTAGTAAAAGCTATAACTCAAGTCACATAGGCAAAAATTTTTCTTATTTCAAACAGGATATGAGTTTAGATATAAACAAATAAATGAACAAACAAAAAAAGGGAGGAAAAAATGTAGATGTAATAAGAATTAGAGGCTATGCTGAAAAACAATGACCATTATAGAGCAAATACAGTCACTTGTTAAAATAAATAGGGTGATAAAAAATTCTGTTAGGAAAAAAACACATTTCTGTTCTTATTTCCCCTCTTCCATCTATTCACTATCTCTCTTATTACCTATTAGCCGTTAACTAATATAAATTATTTCAAATTAACTTATAAATACTAAATAACAACTGTATGTAAAGTACTATGTTGTTGTTGTTATGTGCCGTTGAGTCACTTGCGACTCATAGTGACCCTATGTAAAACAGCTCGAAACTCTGCTCTGTCCTGTGCCAATCTCATTGTCTCCAACACACTCATCCCAATTGCCCCAGTCACCAAATCAATCCACCTCCCAGAGGGCCTTCCCCTCCTGAGCCTGCCCTCCACCCTCCCAAGCATGATATCCTTCTCCAAGGACCGGGTCCCTCCTTACAACATGACCAAAGTATGTC